ACCAAGGAACAAAAGATGTGAATAGTTATGTGTGCTGTACACTCCAGACCAGTCCATCCGCCAGCTAAATGCCACTGAGTGACCCTAGCATATAGAGACAAAGAGATATGAGATTGAGACCTGTCCAAAATTTTAACCCATAATAGAAGAAAATATGACAAAATTTTTCTTGTAAACCATCAACTTTTGAGACAGTTTCTCATATAGCAATAGATAAAAATAAGACCTCTATTGATTCCAAGTACAGCTAAGGGCAACTACGTCAGATGGGTCCAAAGCAGCCTATGAGCTGGTTCAAGGGACACTAGTAAAATCTGCCCTGGATCCCTTTCCTTGGGAGTTTACTCCTCCCTCATCCTCTGATAATGTTGCTCAGCCTTATGATTTGTGGCGGAAATGGCTGGTCACTCAACAGACTTCTTTGCTGTCCTGCTAAGCTCACAATCATTTGGGGACTATATCCTCCAACACCATGAGTCTTTTCATATGACTGAATTTCCACTAATGAGATGCTTCCCTTCCCATCTTCTGGCTAAGCAGTGATGCTCTTGCTGACCTTAGAAACCACATGTGGAAGATGGCAGGGCCTCTACCAGAATATTCTCCTGGTTGGTCCTTATGTGACGCAAAGGTAAACGTCTTTTGTGCTGAGTCTTAAGATTTATAGGGCTACTTGTTACAGCAGCTAGGGCTACCTTACTGGTGCACTGTGGGTAGTAACTCTGTCCTGGACAATCAGAGAATTTCTTCTCTCTGGCCACTGAGTTTGTTCCTGGGCTAATCTCAAAAAGTCACTTCTCTGAGACCTATAAAATAATTTTGCTGAGAGAGAGAGAGAGAGAGAGAGAGAGAGAGAGAGAGAGAGAGAGAGAGAGAGTGTGACCTTTGGATGTCATTATTGAACTCTTAGATTCATCTATGCCCAGAGGTAGACAACTCTTTGGACTATGTAGTAACATAAGTCAGCACGTGTCTTCTGGGCAAAAAGTTATTGGCACGATAGTTATATCCTTTACTATGGAAAAAGTCCTAACTAACACTGAAGAATTATCTTAAATTTAGGAAGTCTTTGGCAGCTAATACATCCTTAGCCCTGTGTCCGTACTGGGCTCAAAAATTCAGAGCTCCCATAATATGTCACCTTGAAGATAAGTCAGTGGGATCTTGTATTTGAATTTAAAGTAAATTTACTACAATTCTCACAATGGTTAGGTAGATAGCTCTGATCTGAGAAATGAAGCCAGGACAAAGAACAAAAATCAGTTTTGCTTCTCTGGGTAAAACATAACTACTTGCCATCAATACCTGTTCCTTTGGGAATTTCAAATAATATGAGAACCATTCAAAATCCAAACTTTGGTGGTATTCTAAAACCTTAGGGATGTTATCTGGGAGGTGGAGGGGGTCAGAGAGCAACACATGGGTGAGTGAGAAAACCAAGGATTAAGCAGAAAGTATAAATCTTAGGCTAAAATTCCATGTCTTGAGTGGAATGCCTGAGTGCTAATATGCCACACAGCAGTTGTCCTTTGCAATTTGGTTTTGTCCCTTTTTATCACCCAACTTTTCATATTCCCTTTGTAGTGGATTGTCCTAAATCCTCCCCTGCCCCGGCAAAACACACACACACACACACACACACACACACACACAAATTATATTCAAATCTTAACCCCTAGTGCCTGTGAATGTAACCTGTTTTGGAAACAGGATATTTGCAGATATAATCAATACCAAATAAAGTAATTCTGGATTAGAGTGGGCCCTAATCCCATGACTGACATCTTCATAAAAGAAAGGAGAAAAAGATTTAGATGCAGAGTCAGAGAGGAGGTAGAAGGACGAAGTCCATTTGATCACAAAGGCAGAGGCTGGAAAGCTGTGGGTCCAAGCCAAAAGGCACCAAGAATTGTCAGAAGCCACCAAAAGCTAGGCAAGGCTAAGGGACAAGTCTTCCCTAGAGTCTTCAGAGGAAGCATGATCTTGCCAACATTTTGATTTCAGACTTCTGGCCTCCAAATATGTAAGAGACTATCTCTCTATCACTTTTGCTAATTCAGAGATAATTTGTTATGACAGCTCCAGGGAACCAATATACCCATGGTTCTCATATAGGCAAAAATGTTCCTCCCAATGACTGAGCCAAAAACAGGCACCCACAGCAGTCCACTCTGTCATGAGCTAGAGAAAAACAAGTCCGTCCAACTGGCCAGGTGTGATACCACTCAAAACAAGTGCTTGGAAGAAAGGATGCATTCCTCTTTCTTCCTGTGTCTCTCTTCTGTACCCATGTTCAAATAAGCCTCACAAGTATGTACCAATTGACAGTGAAAAGATCTCTGCCTGGAAAGATTGTTTCTCCAAATTTCCCAGGAAGTAGAGTGGAACGGCTAAGGGTATAAGGGCGGGTGCCAAACTTCCCTGGCTCCATGGAGTGACCTTAAGCAAGTTCCCTAAATTGTCTGAGCCTCACTTTCCTCATCTGTAAATGGTATAATCACAGCAGCTCTTTTTCTGAAGTTGGTGAGCTGCTGTCTATAAAGCCCCAGACTTAGTGTGCCAGAAGGCCCAAGGTTAGCTATGGACTTTATTAGCTGTTGTGAGTGAGACAGACCCTGGCTGACCAGCACAATGGGAAATTTTAGGCACAACTCTGTCTTGGCCTTCTGTCCCCATCTCTCTTTTTCAGCTTTCTTTTCTCTCCCTTTTCTGTTTTACTTATACATTCACAATTGCAGATCTTCCCCACCCCAACTCCACCACTAATTGTCCAACTAGCTCTCATCTCTTGCTCCAAATGGTCTGGTCTATTTATTAGCCTCTCACTTCCTCACACATGGTCTCAGTGAAGATGTCTTCTGCATCATGCCATCTTCCGTGGCATCCACTGCATCAATACAAACATTACTTATTATGAACCCAGCTGATTTCATTTAAGGGACAAACTCCTATCCTTCACTCTCCTCCTACTTCCTCAATCTGAGGTGGAGACATCTGGAAATGAGTTTAATAAGGTGGCTGACAGGCAGCTGGTTCCTGGAGTGGCTCCAGGGAGCCATTCTGCAGAGGAAGCCGGAAGAAGTCAGATTGATGGACGGCTGGCCTCAGCGAGAATCCACCCAGCTGCTCCAAGAAGGAGAGGGGCCACCTCCCCTGCACTCACAGGGGGACCCCACCTGTAAAAAGTGAGAGAGGAAGAGGTGGAGATGTTACAGAGGAAAGGCTCCTGCACACCTGCTGTGCCCTCCATGAGCTATGTGACCTCAGGGAAGACACACTAGACCCTTACATTTTGCTCATTCAGAGATGGATTTGACCAGTTGAATTTTCAGGTCCTTTCTTCCTTGAACATTCTAGAATCCTAGGGTGGAGTAAAGCCACCTGGTCAGGGACTGTCAAGAAGAAAGGGCAGGAAAGGCCAGCTGCAGTTTTTTCAACCACCACTTGGCCAAGCCCCTGGGTGTTATGAGTGGTGCACCACTAATATAAATAAAGGAGCTTGCGGATTAGAAGAGAAGAGCAGGTATACAAATCATCCCAGTGTCCCACATCACAGCACCAAGCTGTAAGAGTTTTTTCCCAGTAAAAGGCCAGTAAATTCATTACCTAATGGGAGAGATGAATCCTCCATTGCTGAATATTAAAAGATCAGCATAGCTGAGTATAATTGATGTGACCAAGCACTGGGCAATGGCACACCTGCAGTATAGTCCTGTAGAAAATGAGCCATAAACACAGTGTGTAATCGCTAGAACTTGGAAACAGCCCAATTGCTCATCAACTGGAGACTGAATAAAGAAGATGTAGGGTTTGTTTGTTTGTTTGTTTTAATAAAACGCAGTACTACTCAGCCATAAAAAATGAGAAACTAGAGACATTTATAGCCAAATTAATGCACATTGAGGTCATACTCTTAAGTGATATAAATAGGACACATGTGTGTTAGTACCAAATAGTTTCTCTGGTGTGAAAAACTAAAAGTATAAATAAAGATCAAAATGTATAATTGATGATGTGAAATAGGAAGAAAGGGGGCAAAGGAAAAGGGGAAGTGGGATACATTTGGGGAAAAGGAAAGAAGGGAATGGAATTAATACGAGAAAATGAAAAAATGGGACCAAAGTCTTTGTAAATTGGTAGGGGTAGAGGTTGAAGGGAGGGCAGGGAAATGGGGAAAAAATAAGAACCAAGATAGATTATGTAAAAATACAAATTTCCAACAATGAATACCATTGTTTTGTATACCTAAAATGTACCAACAAACTTAATGAAATTGAGCCATAAAGAGAATAAATTACTGGCTATGCAGGATTGTTAATGCATGCCTGTAATCCCAGATGTTTGAGAAACTAAGGCAGGAGGGTCACAAGTTCAAGGCTAGCCTGGGCCATATAGGAGACCTAGACTCAAAATTTAAAAACAGAGCTGGGGATATAGCCCACTGTGATGGCCTGGGTTTTGTTCTTAGTGCTAAAATAATACATCTATATGTGTACACACATACATAATACTGCCCCATGCTACAACTTGGATGAACCTGAAAAAAAAAATGCTAAAAAGCCACCAAGTGCCACACACTATATGATGCCTTTTATATGAAATATCCAGAAGAGATAACTTAATAGAGAAAGAAAGCAGATAGATTAGTGGTTGCCATGGAAGGAGAAAAGAAGGTTGAGGGTAGGATTACTTAAGAAGTATGGCCTGAAATGACCCAAAAAATGTACTGAAACAAGAGGTGGTCTTTATACAACACTGTACATGCACTGCTTTTATTTTAAAGTAAATAATAAATAAATAAAATGATTTTCAAAAAGCTATGGAGAAAGAAGAGTGAATGAGATTCAGACTACTGGAGAACACCAGTCTTGCCATCATGGCAGGTGGCAGTGTAGAGTCACAGCCATCCATGCCAGCAACGTGGACTCTGGTACTGACATCCTGGGTTCAAATCCCAGCTCTGCCTCCTGCAAGCTGAATAACTGTGGACTACTTACTCAGGTTTTTGTGCCCCTCTGTTTTTTGGTGCTCCTCTGTCTTCATGCTCCTCTGTTTGTGCCTCCTCTGTTTTTCTGTAAAATGAGGATAATATTTTTGTATTGGAGCAGGCCTGATCTATAGTAGGTGCTCAGTAGATCTGAGCCATTCTTGTTCCCAAAGGCTTAGCACTTTGTCACCTTCTGCCACCACCACCTCTTAATGTCATGCCATGTATAACTCTAAACCCAGCATATTTAAGCTTGGAGGTAGATTAATGGGACCATAGGCAACCCTGGGCCTGGGCAATCAAACTCATGGAAGCAAAACTTACCCAAGCCAGAGCACTACCAATAGCCTCTAGTTCTAGGAGCAAAATTAGGGGTGGAAAGAATACAGCACAAAGTAACACCAGAAGAAAAAGCAGAACCCTGGCCCTGCCATGCTCCATAGAATAGCAAGGTGTGAGATCCCCACCCTATCTGACAATGCGAGACTATAGGGGGTTTCTGCATTCTACCCTCCTCACCCCCACAGCTGTAGCTGCAGATATTGCAAGGAAAATTAGAACTGAGTTCTTGCCAACTTCAGGAATTTTCATATGGCTTCTGTACAGCTAGTTAGTATTTTTATTTAAATAGATTACCTTCTCTACTTTAATAAATGTATTTTATAGGAAATTTTGTTACAACCAACAATCAACTTGCCAGCCAAATCCAGCAGCCACCTGCTTTTGCAAACAGAGTTTTATTGCATTGTCCTTGACTGTTCTTAGGCCACATCAGCAAAGTGGTCAGAACAAATGCCTTACAACCTGCACAGCCAAAAATATTTACTAATGTCTCTTTACAGAAAATGTTTCTCTACTCCTACTTACAATAAAAACCAACACCACTTACCTTACCTAGAAGGATAAAGCACAAATTAATATTTTCAAAGTGAGTATCATTAAATTCTAAATTCTGTTATTGACACTCAGAAGAATTTGCCCATTCTATCATGTATTCATTCTCTATTGAACAGTCACATAAGCCATCCTGTTCTCAGATATGTAGGCAAATGAGGTACAAAATTCCCTGCTTTCATGGGATTCATATTCTGATGGGAAAGACCGGTGCTGGAAAATTAAATAGTCATAGTTATCTTTGGCTGTTAGGAAAACCAAAGATTACAAGCAACACAGCGCATGATTAAGAATTAATTGGAGATCTTTTCAATTAAGGGTCAAGGAAGTCCTGCATAAGAAGGTGACAGTGGGCATAAACTCCAGCATTTTTGTCAGAGAGAACAGAAAGTACAATAGCACCAGGTAGTAATGGACTTATTAGGTTTTTCTCTTGGGCACTGGATACATCCAAATGACCATCTCTAATACCTTTCCCTACCAGCACACTCTGCTAACCATTGGTTTGGTTGTATAGGGATGCATTTTAGAACCCTGCATATAAGCTTTACTTGTCCTTTGGGCTGGAACTGTGAGAAGCATGACTTTGACCCATCCCTACAGATATATATGAAGTAGGGAGTCCCAGTTAGGTGCTCTGGAAGTGAGTTCTGGAAGACAATCTGGGTGCATGACGTTCTCAACACTCATGCAAGAAAAGAGACAGGAGCAGGAACAGGTAGAGGTAGAAGCTGAATGCAGTGAAGCCCAGTGAGGCGCTGGCCACAGAGTGAGGCACTCTGAGATGGACATCACTGGTCAGCCCCATCCTGGGTCAAGCAGAAATGCCCAGCCCCATGTGCCCATCTCAGTAGGTCACTTGGAGGTGGTCTGCCCTGAGAAGAATGAGACCTTGATGAGGTGTCTCTCTGCAGCTGGGCCTGATCATGAAGGAGCTGACAGCTGGAGATGGTCTGCTGACCACACCCAGCAGCTGGCAGAGGAGTTTGTCCTTCCTCTAGCCAGTCCACTCCCTGACTTCCCACCCCTCTGTGCCTCTCCTGTTCTTCCTCTGAATCTCATAGCCAGCTGCCCGAAAGGTGACTTGAAAAGTTAAGCTGAGCTAAAACTTCAGCTGGAGCAACTTAGTGCAAAGCGTTTTTTTCAAGACTAGAAGACAGGAAGCCATCAGGACCCAATAAGCAAATAAATTATTCACGAATGCATCTAATAAGAAATGGTGAGTCATTGCTGTGCGCAACAGGCAGAAATGTGGGAGGTTCTCAGACACTGTGAGACTGGGATTGAGGATATTTTCTGGCTCTCCTTCTGGACCACCTTCTGGAGTGACTCGGGAGTTTGGCCCTATGCTGAAATCCTCAGTGAGGCTAGAGTCTCTCTGATCAACAGTGGCTGCTCAGTTCCTGGCTAATAACCAACTACAGCCAGAGGGAGGGAGCCATGTCTGTTATTCCATGAAAGTCACTTGTCCCAGTGAGCTTAGAGGAAACCTGCACATTCCCCCAGGAAGTTCTGGGGTGCTTAGAAGTGGAGAGAGCATGTGCTGGGTCAAGTCTCCTCCAGCCATGTTGGGGTGGTGGAGTGAACATGTTTTTGTATTCCCTGCTTTGCCCCCACCTGCCTGGAGAACATTCACTCCCCGCTCCAGAGGCTGCTGAAAAGAGACATCGATGATTACTTCTTGACTATCAGTCCCCAGGCCTGAGCTCCAAACTGTATCCTTTGGAAAGTAGAACATGGGTTTATGAATGTAAAAGCAGGGAAGACAATACTGGTGGTACAATTCAGAGAGAAGATGACCTAGATGTGGGTAGACAGATTGTGAGTCAGACACTCTGAACAGGTGAATTTTAAAGACTTCTGCATCAGCACCCCTGCAGGTAAGCTTCTATTCTAGACTCCTCAGAGCCAGAATCATGTATACCAGGAGGTCCTGAGATCCAACTGCTCAGTCATTCTCAGCATGGGAAGGTGGAGAGCCTGGACATGTGAGCCTCCTGTAAAAACAACCTGCGTATTTCCTTCTGCTTCTGCAGATAATAGCTCCCCAGGTACATCCACACACATGGACTCAGCTGGTCCTCACAAGCACCCTCAAATGCAGGAAAGGACGGTCACCATCAGAGGCAAGGAGGCCAAGCCAAACCCAGGTGTGAAGTACAGTAGGATGGTAGAAAGGACTAAGAGCATGAACTACCCTCTGACCAAATCATCACAGCAAGAGAAAGAGTACAAGTCATGAGAAGAGCTTGGCAGCCCTCCTACCAAGAGAGGACTCGATGGCCAAGGTCAAGATGTAAGGAACCAAAGAACCCAGGCAAGGCTTATGGGGGAGGGGATGAAAGGGCCATCCCTGAGGTAGTCGGACTGCAAGCACTCTGGCCTGGGTCTCTAGGGAGAATCTTGGGAAGTACTATTCTTGCCAGAGCCTGGAAGGGAGTGGCTGTTTTGGGATGGGTGTGAAAGATCCGTTCCTGAAGGAGACATCTGTCAGTCTCCATCTGCTTCCAGCCAAGTGGAAACAGGAAAGGCTTCAGGATGGCAGAGAGCCCAGAGATGTGAGATGGGAAGTGATAATGTCAATAATCACTTGGGAAGAAGAGAGGAAATGAGCAAAGTCTGATTCTTTCTTCTCCCCCCCCCCATCACTAGGTATCTCCTTCTCTGACCCTTTTTCTCCTCTGTCCCAGTGGCCCGGAGCCAAAAGATTGCTCTTTCCCTCGCCTGGTGAAAGGGCACAACTGGCTGTGGCCTTGAAGGGCTATCATTTTTCCTAAGATTATGGAGCATGATGCAATATTAAGGAATAAAGAAGAAGTTGATGTGAAGGCCTTCAAGCAAGATATGGCAGAGAAGCCAAGAAGGCCTCTAGGAGACCATCAAATCTCCCAGCTTCTACCCTAGCTGTCCCTTTGCTGCCCTTTCCTGTCTGCTTTGAACACCTAACTAAAACCCTTGGCCTAACAGAGTTCATCCCATCAGAGAGAAGGAGGCCATAGGGTTAATGACACTTTTTCCTCTCCCCCTATCCCTGCCAGGTATCTCAGAGCATCACCCTGACTCTGCAGCTGACCAGTCACCCCAGGAAGTGTGGGAGGAAAATAAAAAGCCCCCACCCTAAGGTCTCAGATGACTGTATCAGGTCAGAAATGTTGAAAGCATTGTTTTGCAGTGGACCTTTAGAGTCCTGGCCACTCTGAGCAACATCCAGCCAAGCAACACAAAGATAAATTTATATCCTCTAGTTTCTAAAAACAAATGTATATAGGAACTTCTGTTTTAGTTTGCTCCTCTCCTTGCATCCAAGACTTAAAGCAGAAGTGGGTCAGCATCAAGAGAAGGGAGGAGGGGTTGTCATATGAAGCCTTCACAGGATATAATGTCTATGCCCAGCATACCTCTTCTCATTACCCCCTAAAGGCTGCCTATATGGCAACAGTGTCCAACCTCAGTGATCTCACTGACCAAGGCCTTCTTTCCTGGGCTCAGGAGCATGATGTCCTCCTCATGGAGCATGTGCTCCAGGAAGAGGCCAGTAAGGAAGTAGCCCAGGTAGGGTGACAGTTTTTACTCCCTGGTTTCCTCTTGGTGTGGACATACCTCAGAGGAGCCCCAGAAGGACTGAAGCCCCACAGGAAACCTGCTCACTAGCTTTACTGACTCTCCTCCCTCCTTATTGCTTTTTCCCTCTTTCTTACAGTGTTCCCTGGAGTCACACTGTAAATAAACCCTTTGTGTTAGTCAGTTTTCCCTTTGCTTAGACACAATACCAGACATCCACAGCTTAAAGGAAAGGTTTAATCTGACTTATGGCTTCAGGTGTTTAAATCCATGGCCAGCTGGCTCCAAGGCAGAAATGTCATGGTGGAAGAGCCTGACAAACCAAAGTTGCTCAGTTTACAAGAACCAGAAAGCAAAGCAGGGAGGGACAGCACCAGAGAGGAGAAACCAGGGACAAGACAGGGACCCAAAAGTTTCACTTCCGCAACACACCCAGAAATGTCCTTCAATCTTCTGGTTGCTTCCCAAGCCAATCGAGTTGACACAATCAAGCACAATTGGCACACCCTTGCACCCTACCAAAGTCCATTTTTCATGACTATAATGAAATTTCTACAGCTAGGTTCTTAGAAGAAAAAAGTTTTCTCTATCTCACATTTTAGAAAGTTGCAAGTTCAAGATCATGGCATC